ATACTGTGATGTAATTAATGCCACTGAATTGTATACTTATAAATGGCTAAGCCAGGTGCAAGGGCTCACACCTATAATCCCAGCATTTTGGGAGGTAGAGGCAAGAGAATTGCCTGAGCACAACAAGTTGAGGCTGCATGAGTCATGAGCATGCCACTGCACTCCAGTCTAAGCAACAGAGTGGGACTTTGATTCTAAAAATAAATTTAAAAAAAAATAGCTAAGTGGCAAATTTATGTTATATATATTTTACCACAATAAAAAATGTAAAAGAAAACAGGAGTATACTATTGGAAGTTTTTAAAAAGAACCTTGTGATACAGTGGCAAAAAGCTTTGAAAATGGTCACCTGCAAGAATATGGAAGGTGACCATGTAAGTGTGAAGTGAGTTACATAGCTGAGGAAGTTTCCAAGCCAAGTGTTGAAGGTGCTGTCTGGTTTTTTCTTGTTGCTTACAGTGAAATGTACGTGGAGATGGAAAGATTGAGAGACAAACCACTAAATGAAAGGAATAGGAGCTGGATGATTTTGAAAATCAGCCTCTTGAGAGCAAAACAAGAAATAAATTTCAAGTACCATTAAGAAAGGTTGACAAGCCAGGCTCGGTGGCTCAGCCTGTAATCCCGCGCTTTGGGAGGCTGATATGAGTGGATTGCCTGAGCCCGCGGGTTGGAGACCCGCCTGGGCAACTTGGCAAGACCTCATCTCTACAATAAATCAAAAAATCAGCTGGGCATGGTAGTGCATGCCTGTAATTCTGGCTACTCGGAAGGCTGAGGCGGAAGGATCGCTGGAGACCAGCAGGTCGAGGCTGCGGTGGCCAGGAGCAGCCACTGCACTCCAGTCTGGGTGACAGTGTGAGACTCCAATTCAAAAAAAAAAAGAAAGGTTGACAAATAGTAAATATTGAAGTTGTGACTGTACAACCTTCTGTTACAATCTCAGAAAGAAAAATGAATCAGGGTATCATTTAGTCTTAGTTGCCAACGGGTCCTTTCAAGAGCAAGCATGTGTTTCACAGATCACAGATCCTCTCTATTTCACCAGAGGACCTCTAGCAAGCTGGGGGTGTTGTCCTTTTGTGGTTTCAGCAGGACCCAAGGAAGAGAACGGCTATCTCAAAAATATCTGTGAGTGTGGCTTTTGTTTAGTGGAGTTAACCCTAGGAAAAATCCATTGAAGACCCATAAAGTTTTTCAGAATGTTATTTCCATAAAAACACTACCAGTTTGTACTGAAAGGGACAGTGAAAGTACAAATTAAAGGGTACTGGAAATCCCACAATCTACTGGGTGGAAGGAGGCTGACAAAACTACCCAGAAGCAAGCATGTGCTACTTTCAAGAATAAGTAATGGTGACTAATGAAGTGGAGCTGAGAGTACAGCATTCTGTCCAGACCCTGAAACCCAATCAAACAACTCTCAACACTTGCCTGGCTGAGTTTCAGAATGTCTAGGCAACCATGATTCCTTTGTCATTTCCATTCTCCGTTTCTCTTTTGGACAGAGATGTCTATGGTTATCATCTAGTACATGTCCCACCATTGTATGTTGGGTGTACTGGTGGCAGGTAACTCGTCACTTTTAGAGATTGACAGATTGATGGGCACTACACTCAGAGAGTCTCGTCCACTTCTGGGCCTGACTTAAATGATAAGGTTCTAGACTTCAGGAAGATGATTTAATGAGACAAGACTTTGGGAGTAGGTGAAATGCATTTTGTATGTTGCTGGGGAAGGGATGTGAAATATTGAGACACAGAGAATTAACTGTGACTGATAGATTGTAAGGTGATCCCAAAGATCCTTGTCTTCAGATATTCACACCCTGTATCTTTCCTTCCTCTTGACTGTGGACAGTCCTATGACTTACTTTCAAGTAATAGAATACAGCAAGGTATGGGATGTCACCTCTGTGATTATATGACAAGTTTATAATACCCATCCTTTTCTGGGTAGATATGAGGAAGCAAGTGACCATGTTGGCAAGGCTTGCATGGCAAGAAACTGAGGGTGGTCCGGTCTCTGGATAACAACTAAGTAAAAAATTGAGGCCCTCAATTTGATATCCACAAAAAAATTCATACTGAGAACAACCGTGTGATCGTAGAAGTGGATCCTTTCCAGCGGAACCTCTGATGAGACCACAGCTGTGGTCACTGCTTCAACTGAAAGCTAGTGAGATTCTGAGCAGAAGATCCAGAAGCTTACAGGAACTTCTGACCATTGAGAATGTGAGGTGACAAACGTGTGTTGTTTTGAGCCACAAAGTTTGTGAGACTACTGCTACACAGTAGGAGAAAACTAATACAGATAGGATTTGCATTTTGATAATGTTTACAGAGGTCTATTTCTTCCTCCTTATTGGTGGTCCTTTTGAGAATCAGTGCTTGTACTCTGTTCCTGCTGTTCAAGAAAACTTTTTCAAGAAAACTTCAAAATGAAAAAAAGAAATATCCATATTTTCTAAAGTACAAGCAAAAAGTCAACTAGATTTTTTTTCCAGAAAATTGTGAGCATTTCTCAAATGTGTGTTGCAACAAAGCTCCCATTGAATTATTCTACATATTGGAGATTTTGTCCCAGATTAAACGTCACTAACTATAATCGTGTCATTAACGAAAGGAATAATTTGGGAGGATCAATTCATTTTTTTGTGGCCATCCAAGATTTCTTGAAGGCTGATGGAATTTAAACAAACATCATATGATATCATTAATAATTGTGTATGCCTAGTCCTTGGTCTTTTGTGTCCTCCCATGGAGACAATGGTCTCCTTCTAATCTTGAATTTAGTTTTCAAATATCTTCATTGTCAGAATCAAGATGGTTTTCCCTTTTTATTTTTTAGGTGGAGAGACCTTCTATATATCATGGCAGAGAAATCTCAGAAACTTTTACTTGTGAAGATCAAGGAAGAGACATCAGGTACTTAATTTTTTTCTAGTTTTTATTAAACTTTTGGTAGCCCCTTAAAAGGGTTATTCAATAGAGAAACTTACATTTCATACAAATCTTATCAAGTTCTTTTATTCTTACCATTCATCTCTTTATTTTTGAAATTCAAATTTTCTTCCACTGATCAAATGTTCAACTATAGATGAACATTTCTTCCTTAAAAAAGGAACATTTTAAATGTATGTTCCCCAATCATGCTATCCATCATTTTCCTTTATCCTTTTTCCAAAAATATTTATGTGAATACAGTACATATACATATGCTAGCCGCAGTGTTAGACAGGGTTTTCCTTCCTGGGTACTCAACTGAGAAATGTGATGATGCCTGTTTGGTTTATGGGGTGACTTGATTCTTGAGAAGCCCTTTGCACACTGAAAATGACTTTGCCTGAATGGGCTATACAAATTGAGCATTCCTTACCCAAAATACTCAGGGCCAGAAATTTTGGATTTCCTTTTTTTGTCTATTTATTATTGGATTTTAGAAAATTGGCATATGCACAATGAGATCTTGGGGATAAAACCCAAGTCTAAACACAAAATTCATTTAGCTTTCATATATACCTTATATATGGTGGAAAGGTAATTTTATATGACATTTTTAATAATTTTGTGCATGAAACAAAGTCTTGACAGTGTTTTGGCTGTGACCCACCACATGAGGTCATGTGCAGTTTTTCACTTGTGACATCATGTTGGCACTTAAGTTTCAAATTCTGGAGCATTTTGAATTTTAATCTTTGGGATTGCTCAACCTGTATTACATGATAATTTACAGCATTTTAAAACTTCCAGCCAATTTTATATTCTATAAGCTTAGAAATAACAGGAAGACAATTCTTCCATAATAGGCTTTCTCACTTATCAACTGGTGTTAGATAGAAAGTGACAGGCCTGCACAAGACTGTCTCTGGGGACTACTTCAAAAATGACAAACTCTGCTTGATAAAAATTATCTTCATTTTCCTCTTAGTCAAAAGGAGTGAAATCTTAATTGGTAAGTGAGGAACACAGTGAAGAAAGAAAGTAATGATTCTCCCCAGTTGATTATAGGTTGTAATAAATACCTAAAGATAGAAAACTATCTTTACAGTAAATCTGTTTATTTTGCTTACATAAATACTAATAACAAGGCAAATAACTACATACAGCATTTTTATAAGAGGACCCACTGAACTCATGTCACTAAATATAAGCCTGCTGCATTTTAATTAAAAGACATTGAAAGTCTTTCAATAAGTTTATGTCAATATGGTAGAATAGGGATTTCAAAAATGCTATGAAATTCACCTACTTGTATTCTCTCTCGATAGTAATAAATGAGAATATACATTAAATAGGCAAGAAAAATTCAATGATAACCACTGTAGATTTTGAGACTGAAACCAAATGTCTAATTCTATATATAGAAACACATTGTTAAATCCAGGACTAAGCCAAAATGTTCCCATGATGTGCTGAAAGCTTAACATACACCTGGAAAAGAATCCCCACATTTGGTTATACCACAGCTTCATTGACGGTATTGATTCAGACTATTGTGTAGTTCTAAATATAATCAAACCCTTGAATATGTTCTCTCCTGCACTCCAGTGGCTAAATTGAGTTTTGATTAACAGTTTACCCCACCTGTTCAATAATATCTGAGCCTGGGACCTTCTTAGTTCTTCTTTGTAACTGTGGCTTTTAGGCGTGTCTAGTTGAGTTCTCAGAAGAACAATCCGTCTCCAGCAGACTCACTTCCTGAGTCTCCAGGAGCGCAGCTCAGAGGTGCTTGTGGTCCCCGAGTCGTGAATGCCTTGGAAATTGCTAAACTGAGCCAACCCAGCTGTTCAGAAACCAGAGCAGCCCAAGTATGCTGTCAACAAGAGGCTTTGGTCCAAATTAAAGGATGTCAGAAAAAGAAGAGGACGATTCAGGTCAACAGAAAGGGGTGCCACAGATGAGTTAAACTTGATCCAAAACTAAAACCTTGGGGAAACCGACCTGGCTGGAATGAGAGTAAGCTGAGGCCGGCGATGCTGGGAGCAGAGAGGCACATACCTTTCCTCGCGGTTCTGTCCCACGCACACCCGACCTCCGTGCCGGGGAGTGGGGTTGCTGCAGGAGCGCTGGCGCACCTGGAAGCCAATCCCACAGGTGGTGCTGCAGGGAGACCACGAAGTCCAGGGGGTCCAGCCTCCATTTCTGGGGGAGGAGAAGCAATGCAATCACTCAGTCACATTGGCTCAAAGTCCAAGCCCTTCTGCCATCCCACACCAAATGTCTCTGTTCCCCACCAGGATCACCCGACCAGGGAAAGCCAGCCATGGGATTGAATGTACTGTGCTGTGTGTGCTCAACTGCTGTGAGTCCTCCCACCCCAGGCATCTGATTCATAGCCAAGATAGAATATTTGGGAATAAAGTTTTAAGTGCACTATAAATAATTTTAAATGGCCTATATTGAAACTATCAAGAAACTTGAGTAGTGAAAATATTAAGCTAATGAAGAATAATGTTATTTCACTGAAAAGCATTTAGAAGCGAGTCCCTAAACCTGTAGAGTTTATGATTTTTTTTAGACTTGTATTTTTTGGAATTGTATCCTATATAGCCTAGGAAAAGTGCACCTTTCAAAAAAACTCACCCAAAACTCTATATAATGCTTTCTTTTACAATTTATTTATATCAGTGAAAATCAGTAACTTTCCTGATAGCATTTGTATTGACAAAGAGTACTGTAATGTTTGAATAATGTTCAAAGCTTTAAAGCAAGTTTTATTAAAAATTAAGGAGGGCTATTTAAATTCAGATTCTTGGCTATTATCTTACACATCAAAAAAAATACAAAGAGTGCCGATAAGTGAAAATTATATATAGCCATGTATTTATGTTATACATATAAAATAGTAGATTTGTGAACATATAAAATAAAATAAAGTAAAATGAACTAATTTCAAGTCATTTATGAAATAAACCGCTATTGACAACTAGATAAATTTTTTAGTACTGTATTTTTTTCTTAAAATGCCTGTATTCAGATGGCTTATCATTTAAATATCTCCTTTAGCAGTTTGCTCTTGTTATTAACAATATATTATAGATATTTTTAAAGAGTTTAGGTGATAAAACATCTATCAAATCTGATTCCAAATTCTCATATGGATGGTCTACTTCACGTGAAACTGTCTTCTACTTCTGCAATTACATGTATATTTATTTGAATATCTCAATAGCTTTTAAGTTTTATTTGCTTTGAAAAAAATCAACTCACATTAATTTTCATCTATACTTTATACATTCCTTTAAAAACATGAAAGTTCACAATTGTCATTGAAAGTCTAGGTATAAATAATGAAGTGAATGTATAATTTCTAAAATACTTTCAAATAAAAGTTCACCTTAGACAATTTTTAGCATATTTCGTATTCCCCTACTTCGTTTACTAAAATTTAATGATTTAATAAAATATATAGTGATAGCTTTTTATATGATGTTACAATAAAACTGCTTTATCATAATTTAACCAGACATTACAAATTAAGACAGATTCTCCCACATTCCTCACAAAGGTAATTTGTTAATATCTTATATCCTGCTTCCTATAATCTAAAAATTATCTAAGTTGTCCACTGAATCAGATAAAAAACTTAAATAGCAATTTTGGTATATAAAATCATATTTTTACTTTCATAAGTTTCTTTATATATGAAAACGTTGTTGGATAATGCAGAAAACAGTGTTTCAAAATTTTTTGGAAATGCTTCATTTCTTAAACCTTTTCACAAGCATACAATTTTATGATATATTCTATTTACAATATATGGGACATATGTACAAGACAGTAAGTAAATGAAAGCATATATTGGTAATAAGAGTATAGGACATGAGGAAATAAATAAACCTTATATGTATATGTTTATTATCTGGCCCTGGGTTTGCACACTTCTAGATGCTGCTTAGGGGCAGACATGGTGGTCAACGAAAGTAGCATAAAGTCAGCACATATCAGTAAAGGCATCCCTTTTGTGACTATCAGTACAAAGCAATCCATTTATGCATTTAAAGCATCACTTAAACTGGCTCACTTTTTCAGCATTAATCTTAAAATACTTTCCAACTAGAATAAGAACCGAAGCTGTATCAATAAACAAGTCGCAATAATGCACTTGGTAGTTCTTTATCCATTAAACAATATGAAAAAAGTATTAGCTACTGATTGTAATCTTCAAATATAGTTTATAGCTTTTATAAAGTTTCTGCCAGGCATCTATGGAAACCATTTAGTTTTATAGAAAGTGTGCAGTGCATAACGCAATGTTGATGTGTCCTCTGTAACTCAAAATCATCTAATCTCTGTAGCCCTAATTCGCTCCTTTCAACTTTGTGGTGTAAAAAAACTAGGCTCATAGAAAGAAGATAATACTTTCTAAAAATACTTAAATTAATGAACAAATGAGGAGGCAGCTTGAAGACTCATTTGAGAGGCTTTCCTGATGCCTACTTTAAATTATCTCTGTGGTCATGGTGCTATAGGCATAGGAGAAGGAGGACCAATTTGAGTATAGTTGTAATAAAAAAAAATCAAACAACAATACCACAATAAGCAGAGAAAACAGGAAATCTACTCAGTATGTTATGATATTTAAACTGTTCTGTTTACCCAGAGCCTAATGTTAGCTGAATTGAGTTGTTTTGAGTTCACATACTATAGAGTAGGGTAGAGACTTTTGATCAAGAACTTTTCTTCCTGTTCTGATTAATATACCATGTTCTAGCAGAAATGACCTATTAGTTTATGTATTCCAGAAAAAGATTCTTAATAGCATGGACATTTTCCTTTAAAAAAGCAACCATATTGTACAAATGAAAAATATTTTTCCTAATCGAATGATGAGCATATGAATAGGTTTAGATCTATAATCTCATTTATAGTTAAACATTTCCTTCCAGAGATCATGTAATTTTTAAGTGGGAGACGCCCCTGTCATTTTGCCACTTTTCTCTCCAAGTTTCTTGAGAATTTGAATATAACACACACAGTATATCCGTGGGACATACCTGGAACAGTTGGCGATCTCCATGCTGGGACCCTCACATGGCCAGCCACCACACTGTGGGGCTGGGCTGTCACAGGAGCGGGATCGACAGAGGCAGGACCCCACAGTGCTGCCATCCGTGTGAGTGCAGGGCGTCCATGGAGACCATGTGCCAAAGTGTCCATCCACCGTAAGGTTCCGGGTCTAGGGAGTAAAATCAAATAGGGAAGTCAGAAAGGGTTAAAACTCTACGCAGAATAGAGTAAAAATAAAAGATCTCTCAAAGGACAATTGGAATTCCCTTGGAATTTTTGTTGCTGTTACAATTAAAAAGAATTGCATGAGGAAGAATTTTGGAGTAAAGCAGCAGAGGTCATTAGCAGAGAGGGTGAGGAAAGAGGAGGATGGAGAAAGGGAGTAGGAAAGAGGAGACAGGGAAGGAGGAGAAGAAGAAAATTAAGAGGAAGAAGGAAGAGAAGGAGGGAATCTGAAAAGAAGAGAAGAGGAAAAGGGAGAGGAAGAAGATCAAAGGACAGAAGAAGTAGGAGAGAAAAGATGTAGAGGAGGATAACAAGACAAGGAAGAGGAGAAGGAGGAAAGGGAAAGAGAAGAAGAAAAAGGAGATGGAGTAGGAGGAGGAGGAAGTTGATAGGAAGAGGAGGGCTGAGGACAGGGGAAGAGAAATGAAGGATTCTAGTAACTTGACAATCAGGTTATGGCAGGATTGTCTACCAATAGGAGAAATCCAAGAATCAAGACAAAGTGTAAAGAAAATCATAGCTGTACAATTTTGTTGCATGGTTATGTACCTGAAAAAATCTGGTGACATAGCTGTCATTGAAGACCTGACCTGGCTCTAATGTCACCTCAAACTGACGATCAATTCAAAACACATTTAAAGAGTGCCTATTAAGCACCCGAAGCTTTATTGGTTGTTAGCCATAGCCTGTGCTCTAATCACTCTCTCTGAGTTTATGAGCCAGTGAGGAAGAGCTAGTCATATAACTATTATTGTGTGTGAAGTACAATGATGGGAGTCACAGACAGGGGCTATGGGAGTAGAGGAGGGACCATGTAACAAGTCCCTGGGGTCTAGAAGAACAAAGAACTTGTGTTGAATCTTAAAGGGTGAAGGAGTGACAGCATTATAAGGGCTAGAAAGGCAGAGGGCAGATAAATGAAGCTGCCAAATGCTGAGGGGCACCCAGGCCTCTCCCCATCACTGTGGGGAGTTTTCTTCCCTTATTACTCTTACTATGTACTATGAAGTTAAAGAAAATGCCACGTAAGCATTTGCAAGTGGTTGGCATAAGGGCCTACAAGGCAGATTCCTCTAGGGTGAAAGAGAAGTGATACGAGTTTTCCCAGCTGAGCAACGTGGCTCATGCCTATAATCTCAGCACTCTGAAAGGCTGAAGTAGGAGGACAGCTTGAGGCCAAAAAGTTCAAGACCAGCCTGGACAACATAACAAGACATGCCATCACTAAGAAAAATTTTAAAAATAGTCAGACATAGTAGCACATGTCTGTAGTCCTAACTACTTGGGAGGTTGAAGCAGAAGTAACACTTGAGTCAAGAAATTTGAATTGACAGTGAGCTATGACTATGCCACTGCACTCCAGTGTAGGCATGTGCGGAATTGTACGGAAATGATGTTGAGTCCCATGTTGGTTTCACAAACACGAATAAGGTATCGCGTGCCTTCCCCTTCACTTTCAAAGTATGTTCTACATCAGATAAGACCTGGATCTGGATGCCAAAATACCCAGTTCCCAAAGGCCCACAGATCCACATACTTCCCCATTTGCCTCTGGCATGGAGATGTTTTGCTGAAAGGGAAAATCAGGGACAAGAATTTTCACTAGGGATAAGAAGAAAAAGGATGTGTTTACTGCCTTGGGCATTTTTTTTTTCCATGATAAAAATCTGTATGTATTGTTTTTCAAGTTGCTGACAAGTTTGGCTTATTGGCTGAATTTGTATAGGAATACAAGGTACTTCCTGCTGAGCTTGTTTGTTGGTGAGCAGATGAACTGTAGAGAGATGGAATTTGGAAGCCCAGGGCTGGACTATGCCAGTCAATACCACCAGGCAACTGTGTATGTGACACGTGGGCAAGTGGCTGTCTCTCTTGACACCCCAAAACATACAGATTTTTTAAAAGTGTCACAGTTCATTCAAATGATGCAGAAGCCTATCAAGCCTAAAAATAAGTGAATTTTTCAAGCAAATAACAAAAAACAACCAACATTATAAATCTATGCAGAATGCCAACATCCATTAGTTTAAAACATTATGTTGACCCTAAAATTTTACATATCTCCTTCTTGTCTGAAGTCTTGTTTTTCTGTAGAATAAACAGTGACCCGGTCCAGTGTCAGACAGAAGGGGTCAGAAGCCTCTAGAAGGTCACTGCAGTGCTAGGGAAAGAGAGCCCCACAAGTTGAACACCATAAAGCAACACAGCTTCATGGATAGGTAGGGTCCCAAAGATGAAGAATCTGTGTTTCAGATTGCATTTGTCATGGCCCTTGCAGATTAAAGGACCCACAGTCCATGAGATTTTAAAGAAAACATGATAAAGGCACTCTGGGCAGGGTGTGGGCTGGGTTGAAGGGATGTTGAAGTCCACAGGGAAGAACAACATGGGAGCAGTGACTGTCCTAAGCCTGAAGGTGCTCTACCTGAATTAGGCAGTACAATCAATCCTCAGACTACCACCTTCCAATGCATCCTAGGGTGAAAATGGTCTTTTTAAAGTCCCATTTACAGGGAACTCTATTACTTTTAGGTATATGCAATCCTATAGGATTCATATCTGAATATTGTTTTTATACAAAAAGCAAACTGAGATTCAAAGAAATTTTATAACTTGCCAAAGATTCCATAGTTACTTATTTGGAAGATGTCATTTGAAATACAGGTCTTTCTTTTTTTCCCAATACCCTAGGGTTTCTCAACCTCAACATTATTGACATTTGGGCTAGAGAATTCTTTTGTGGGGGCCATGATGTGCATTGTGGGTATTTCATGATATGCCAGGCCTCCACCCACTGGATGCCCATATCCCATGAACCTTAGATGTGACAACCCAAAATGTCTCCAGATATCACTGAATGTTCTGAGTCAACTTGCCCTGGTTGAGAATCACTGCACCAGACATCCCTTATTTGTCTTCTTTTGGTCTAGCCTGAGATGACAGAGTCTTAGCCAAAGAGATACTATGAATGCTCTCTTTCAAAAAATATGGGTAAGCCACAGATGACCTAGTAAGAATGACACAGGAAAACAGGGCAAGGATTTGAAATGCTTGACAGTTATTGAAATAATTAAAAGGAATGAGGCAGATAAAAAATAAAAGTAATGGTAACAAAATACAAGAAAGGAAGGGAATTGCATTGGGCAGATCATTAGTGAGAGCACACAGTGTTGGTACTTCTGCAAAATAAATAAGAATATGAGTTTGAGTTTCTGTCCAGGGCTCAGGTATCTCCAGACTCTGATAGCAGCATTTTCAATCCAGGGCCACTGCAGTAGGTTCCACTGCATTTTAGAGTAAGAAATACTTGCAATCTTCAGAAAAGCACATGGCATTTGGGTGAGGGCTTGGTGTTGCATTTTAGCACATACTTACTTTGACCCTAAGCATATTAGTTTGAGAATCTGCCTAGGAAATAGTTTCATGAGTAATAGTATAAGATTTGCAGTTTTACTTTTCCATATGAATAGGCATTTTTTTAAAAATATTTTTTTTTAGATTAGAAAGTATAGTTTATTTAAAAACTAAGTTAGAAAGAGAGAGAGGAGTGGGGAGAGAGAGAAGAGGAGAGGGGAGAGAGAGAGAGAGAGAGAGAGAGAGAGAGAGAGGAGATTCACCTCCCAAAGGTAGGAGAGGGGACCAAAGCCAGGAAACATGGCTTGACCATAGCTCAAAGAGATACTATGATATGGGTAAGCAAAAGATGACCTAGTAAGAATGACACAGGAAAATAGCTTAGCAAGGCAATGGCTTAAAAATAATTTTCTTAGTTTTCCTTAAACAGACATGAGAAGTGAAGCTACCTAAACTCTCATTAGTTGTGCTCCCTTCTGGATTTCTGCAAAGTGACTTGCTATGTGCTTTATACTATTTAATATTAAACCACAGATAAACATATACCACGTGCTTTACATGTATTGGCTCCTTGAATCTTCACTGTATCCCTAGTAACTACATCCTATTTTACAGATAGGAAAACAGGCTGAGATGGGATAAACAAGTTGCTCCAAGTCACTGCGATTATAAAAGATCAAAGAATCATTTGAAACAAGGGATTCTAGAGCCTGTGGCCTCAGCCACTTCCTTCTGTAATGTGATCCCCAGACCTTCCTTTGGTGAGAGCCTCAAAGAATCAGTGTCATATAGTTTTATGCCCAACTGTGTAATAGAAAATTTCTCCTCACCTAGGAAGTAGCAGGTTTCCAAGTGCTGGCTAAAGAAGATCCAATTTTTGTTAACAAGTATCATCCATAATCTTATGTTTCATTTGTTCGTGTTCAATTCATTGTCCATAATCTTTTGTTTCATTTGTTCATGTTCAATTCATTGATTCTCAACTAACTGTGGGTATAGATGCATTTGGTGAGTCAAAGGTCCCAGGAGCACATCTTTAGATTAGTATTGTATGCCAACCATTATTATCTTATGATTAAATTTAAATCTTATGTTTTCTCTTCAGATATTTTCGGAAGTTAAATGATTTTTCTTTATTTATTTTCTTTTCTGTTTGTTTTGCAAGAGATTGCAATAGAACAGGACATTGGATATGCTTTTCAGAAACTTAGTATCACTTTTGAACCTGTCTCTACAAATGAATTACAAAGCAAAGGCAGCATCTTTAAAAAGAACTAAGCCGTAGTACTGTGTGAGGCTGTGAGCACTGTGGGTGAACAGGGACAATCTGTAATTCATGCCTCTGAGTCCCAGTTCTTCCATTTACAAAATGGAAGCAATGGTCTCCATCCCTGAGGGTCCCCGTGAACATAAAATGAGATAATCCATCAAAAGTTGCCTAACATGGCACTGACCACATGGCCTAAAAACACAATGTAATCTCAGTTCCCTTTGCTTTCTTGTAAAGTAGATTTCAATACCAAATTCAGAAGTAATGCCTCACCTACTCTCTGGGCATCCTCTGCCAGGTGAAACTGGATTGCTGGTCCACCTAACAGCCACTGCTGTGGGGAGATTTTGAGAGCTAGGAATGTCATTATCCTGAAGATTAGGGATAATGTCAAAAATATTGGATTTAAATCCTGGTTGCTTTCCCGGTGCAGTTTTAGAATATTGGGTAAACCCTTTGGACGCTAGTCTGTGGAGTTGCCGTCTAAATGAGGACTTTGGGTTTGATCATTGCTAAACTCTCTTTCATTCTACAGATGCTAATTATACAGATCTAAGAAGAATTCTGTAATGTCAGACACATAGGTGTTTATTTGGTCTATGTATTTTGTCTGTTATGGCGTGATGTATTTTGAAATAGGAACTCATTGCGTGTTATGGTATCCTGGTAATCATGCTCCCACAAAGGATAGGGATGTAATTCTTGCATAAATCAGACCAAAGTAGATTTTTCAGACTACACTCCCCTTGTTAAGTAGCATTACGAGTTATTCAGGACATATATATTATTCTAATCAGTCTAGATATGCTGAGTTAGATGTTACTCAAGCACTTCAAATCTCTTAAACTTAGAGTAATGTTTTCAATTACAATTTTATAAGCAAACAAAATGTTAATCAATATGTCAGTAAGCTATTGCCCTGTCTTCTGGACTAAAGAAACCCATAAACATTTTAAAATAGGGATCATTTTAGTAGAAAGTAAGTTCCTAAATCCCTGGGAAGGTTTCTTGGGGGCTCCCATTTTCATCTCAAACTCTGGGGAGCAGAAGATCCACTGCTGTAGGGTGAATGTGCCTTTTCCTGAACTCAGATGCTGCCAGTGTAATAGGATTAAGAGGTGGGGCATGGCTGGGTTTGGTGGCTCAGCCTGTCACTCCAGCACTTTGGGAGGCTGAGGTGAGTGGACTGCCTGAGCCTGCGGGTTTGAGACCAGCCCAAGTAACTTGGCGAGACTTCGTCTCTACAATAAATCAAAAAAAAAATTAGCATGTGCCTCTAGTTCCAGCTACTTGGAAGGCTGAGGAGGAAAGATCACCGGAGCACAGCAGGTCGATGCTGGGGTGGCCATGAGTGTGCCACTGCACTCCAGGCTGGATGATGGAGTGAGACTCTGACTCAAAAAAATAAAAAATAAAAGAGGTTAAAAGAGGTGGGACCTTGAAGGGATGATTAGGCCATGAAAGCTTTTCTCTCTCTCTCTCTCTCTCTCTCTCTCTCTCTCTCTCTCTCTCTCTCAGTCAAGGTCTCACTCTGTTGCCCAGGCTAGAGTGCAATGGTATGATCACAAGTCACCATAGGCTCAACCTCCTGGGCTCAGGAGATTCTTCCACCCCGGCCTCCCCAGTACTTAGAACTACAGGTGCGTGCTACCACGTCCAGCTTATTTTTTGCCTTTGTTCTAGAGTCGTGGTCTTGTTATGTTGCCCAGGCTAGTCTCAACTTCTCGGGCTCAAGTAACCTATCTGCTTTGACCTCCCAAAGTGCTGAGATTACAGGTGTGAGCCACTGCACCCGGCTAGGGCTCCTCTCTTGTGAATGGGACTGAGTGCCCTCATAAAGAGGCAGGGTGAAGGGAGTTGGCTCTCTCTTGCCCTTCTGCCTTCCCCCATGTGAGGACACTGCAAGAAGACCCTCAGCAGATCAAACACCAGTGCCTTCGCCTTAGACTTCCCAGCCTCCAGAACTGAAAGAATTAATTTTTTTAAGTTACCCAATCCCAGGTATTTTTACAGCAGCACAAGTGGCCTAAAGCAGCCATAAATCACAGCCAGCGCATGAGGTTAGACCTTTAAAACTGACTTTGGAGACCTCAGTTATGCTATGTCATTGGTCCAAGGTTTATGAAAATCTACATGATAGGGTCACATAAGAGAGTCCGAGGTTGACTCATCATCATCAACACGCCTCTAACTCTTACTGCACTTCATGTAACGGGGTCTCCTCTCTTTAACTATGCAACTTGCACTTTTGCATGGGACATAAAATGCTTGGTCTCATTAAAAAAATCCCTTGTCTTATAAAGCTTAATTTTCTTTGGATAATGACATATACGGCTTTATAATCTATGTATAGATGTAGATTAATAAAAGTATTAACAGATGATGAGCTTTTTTTTCCATCTCAGAAATCAACTGGCATTTTGCAATCCCCGGCAGCATTTTTTTTCTTGGCAATATATAAAGCAGTGACGTACTTCACAACTGATGGCATGTGGTGTGATATGTCCAATAAAATTAAGCTTTCGTTCCATTTCAGGAAAAAATATATAGAAAATAACATATTCACAAATTACATTTTAAAATAGTTTTAAAAATGCCTCTCTATGTTAAGGCTCCTTTACCTTTATGTCAATAATTTTCATCTAGCTCATCGCTTTCTAAGAAATAGATTTTAGAAAAGAATGTATCACATGTTCTCACTCATAAGTGGACCTTGAACAATTATTATAATACTATAAGAGAATGATTGGCAGTAGTGAGAAACTGCTGGGAGGAGGGTGGGGAAGCGGAATTGGCAGTAGTGGGAATCTGCCTGGGGTTGGGGGGGCACATCTCATTAACAAGGGTACCTGCATAATGAACATGTATATACCTAACCCCGAATTGTACCCCACATCTTGAAAATAAAAAAAATTGGAAATAAATCGCAAAAAAAGAAAGCAATGTATAACTAGAGTAGCAGTTAGAGAACATAATATTTCCCATTTTCTATATGGCAACATATGTAAGTCAGAAAACTATGTGGATTCTGTGTTCTTCCTTCTACATTTTCTTCTAAGTCTGTATTCTTCTAAATTTCTTGTGTTCAGTTGAAAATGACATATTTTATTGTCTTCTGTTGGCTTATTTGTATATTCTTAATAAAAGCATGTATTGATATGTGACAAAACACATTGGGTGAGATGATAGGGATGACTTTTGTGATACAATCATCTTATATCAGAAGAAACAAATCTTGGTATGAATATTTTAGCGACAGAAAGTCAGAAATCACATATTAGCTATATTTCTTAAAACAGAGATGGTAGAGGGGGACAGTTTTGACCCCAGGACTGGTCCTTGTTACCTTCTGACCTCACTTGAGTTTTTAACAGAACCAGTCCATTCAGCAACAGGAAGCAGCTTTAGTTTTAACTTTAGTGACAACACTCTCATTACTTCCTAAATATTGGATCCCTCCATTTTTTGATTGTAGAAATGTGTAAGACATATATTTGTTGTAAGCCAAGTGGGTGTGTGTTTTTTCCATTACATAATTAGCATCTCTAAGATACACACTAAAACAGCCCTGGGTCCCAGAAAATGACTTTGTTGCTTAAGAAAAATAGTTACTCTTTTTGTCTGCCTTTTTAAAAAAACCATTAAAAATACAAGATCAGAGTTCTACAAGAAGATATACTGATTCTTCCAAAGAGTATGTCTGTACTCAGGAACCACATTTCAGATATTACATTCATGTTTTACAAAGCTACGAAGAATTTAAGGCAAGCACCTCATTTCTATGCTCTTAAAGTGTTGTACAGAACACTTTAGCACAAACAATGGCATTTTAAAAACCATTTTCAAGAGACACTGCAGGAAAAAAAATTGCTTCTAAAATCATAGATCTGAAGTTAAATAACCAAAAGGACTTACAACTAACCCCACTGGGGAAGCTTTCCAGAGCCTACATGTGATGATACACATGCCCTGGCAGTGAAGGTCCCTGGAGCGGCTGTCATCACTTGGGGAACAACACTGGCCCTCCTCACTCTATCTGGTTTTCTGACCTTCAAGTTGAAGGACAGGCTTCATGATGACATGACTTAGATAACTTAAAGAATAGGTTATCTGACAGGAAATAGACTAGCTGTTGAGATGCCTCAACCAGTGTTGGGAGAAACAGCAAGGACTTCACACACTCAACGTGCCACGCCTCTCTCTTGTAGATCAGCAGTTCTGTGATGACAATGAAACTTAACGACTTTTCAAATATGTGGAAGTGAATAGCTGTTGCTCATGTTCAATGAGAACAGAAGAAAGAATTTGAGATGATTGGATGAAGGTTTCTAAAGACCAAATAACAAAAAATTAAGCACACACACAAAAATTTCCTCAATACTGGCTTCTACAAGTCAGGATCCAAACAAAAATAGATTAGTGAAGGAAACTCTGGAGCCTGCTTTGCTTGGATCCAGAGTGTGGCTCTAAACACAGGCGAATTTCTCCTCATTCCACAGGCTTTAACATGGGAACACACACCAGGCTGTTCCTCCCAGACCTTCCTGAGACCCTGAATAGAATCTGTGAGGCAGCCTCACCCAGGGGTCAAAGTAATATCCTTTAGTTCATTCTTTTCAAATCTTCCCTCATGCCAGCTTCTGGAATTATAACTCCCTAAGGAAATTTATAGGTGTGAAAGTTCCTATTTTGTTAGTGTTATGAGGGGTAAAATAGACCACACCAAACTGAAGAGGGGGAGAAAAATCTGAGAATTAAACATAGATGGTGTACTCCATAATCAAACTAGCACTGTTTTCTCCTAAGACTTTTCTCTTCAAATAGACAGAAAACAGCATCCTGTGTGGCTCTCGTGCAAACTAACAGCCGAATGAGTTTAGAGAGCATGGGCTGGGTTTGCAGAACAGGTTTTCATCTGAAAAGGCACAGGCACGATGGCAGTGTGGGCAAGGATGGCCGGAAGAGCAGGGCTCCCTTGGGCAGCATTTTCAGAGGCTGGAGAGGATGGGTACTCACCGGACAGGCAGAGATGCTCTGCTCCCACTGCGTCATGCTCAAGCTCTCCTCCAGGCTTGTGCATTTCTTCATCACCACGTCCCAGCCGCAGTAAGGGTCCTGGGCTCCAATGCAGGTACTGGAAATACACACCACATGATCAACAGAAAGAGCTTTACGCACTGCTAGACACATAAACCAGTGTGAGCCCGTCCCTCAGGGGAAGGAATGAGAACTAGGTGTAACAAACAGCAGGCATTTATTCAGTCTGCACATTGGAGAACATAGCTATCTGCACACACCAGTGTTTAATTAAAATTAAATCATTTATATAGATATTTTGAAAAAAACTATTTTATCTAACATAGAGATGAATAAACAATCCAATATGAGTGTTCTGGTGTCATGAACAGAATTAAAGTCAGAATTCTTCAATGATCAAAAATAATATAGTTATCACCACCACCACCATCATCCACTTAATAACAGGTTTCATACAAACGATTGTATTATTTAGACATTTGAACAATTTGTTAGGCAGGTATTATTATTTTCACTTTATCACTATCATCACCACCACCACCACCATAATCATTATTATAACCACTTATTAATTAAAAATTGAGGCACAGAAAATTTGAGAAGTTAACCTAAAGATAAGAAAGTATATTCAAAACCCTTCAATGTGGTTAGTTCAAATTTAAGAAAGTAGGGCATCTTTCTTTTATGCACTGTGACTTTAAAAATGTGTTAACATTTTTAATTTAATGGTCATTTCATAGAAGTATGTCTGTACTATCTAAAGACTATATCAGAAGTATTGCAAGGGGTGGGTATTTTATTTTTACTGTGTTTCAATTAAAGAGTTCAGACACAACAAGGGCATTATTAGATGAAGACTGTGACCCCTACATTATAAATTCAAGAGACAGTGAAGAGGGAGAAGACAGAGGTGGCTGTGATAGAGCCAAAAATAAACAGAAGATGACACCAGGGCAAACAGGACACTGACTACCTGGGAATTGTCTGAAGGGGTCAAGACATCAGAGGTGCAGGAAATGGATGTGAGGAAAGAGGCAATTGAGATACCATATCTATAAGATTGTTTAGGGGTTTAAATGACCAATTAGAGATTATAATCTTAGAACATGTTCTTAGTACTTTCTATAGTACCAGCTAGAGGTGTCATCAACCACCCCTTCAAGGCAGAACGCCTCTTACAGCGAGGAAAGATTTATGATAGAGTTAGCAAAGAACCAAGGAAAGTACTGGAAATTGGAGCTTAACTACCCAACATGGCGGCAGGGAGGTAGTATAAGTAATGATAAGTTGATTATATTAATAACATAAAATAATCATCATTAGCCCATGAAATGTGTTAACCATATAAAAAACACTAAGAACATGATCTAAGATCATAATTTTAATTGTCATTGAAACCCCAAAACAACCTTATAATATAGTACCTCAATTAGGTACTAAATTTATTCCCATTTTAAAATAAAGAAACTGGAGTGGGAAAAGGTCAATTTGAAGGCTTTACAGCTAGAGTGGATATGCTTACCATTGAACAATCAAGTAATATTTAGTAAGTTATTATACAATTATTACTTCTTAAGTGCCTAAGAAGTGCTCAAAGCAGTAATCAAAAAAAAAAAAAAAAGGCTGCTTCTCTGTAGCAGGGGTAAGATGGGGTATAAGAGGGTGTTATACAATTACCTGTCACTATAATCTCATCAGTAATCTTTAATATGTGACCATGTATACATATTACTTTCATTTAGAACTCCAGCAAGACCACTGTAACAGACAGGGTAAAGTCTTCTCTTCCCCAATAGTAGAACTGTTCATATGAACTCATATATTTTGCAGATATTTTTTCCATACCTATAAGCCATATTTACAAATATATATTTTGTTATTATTTTGTGTATATAATTATATGATTTGTACAATTAAATATTATATACCATGATGAGCTACATGCAAATGTGATTGCACACACTGCTTCATAGTTTGCTTTTAACAACTAGTAATATATCATTGCATGATGCTTGTCAATAAATATAGCTCTACCTTATTTATTTATTCATTTGCTTATTTTTTGAAACAGGATCTCCCTCTGTCACCAGACTGGAATGCAATGGCGCAAACATAGCTCACTGTAATGTCAAACTCCTGAGCTAAAGGGACCTCTCCTGCTCAGTCTCTGGAGCAGCTGGCACTATAGGCATGCACCACCATGCCTGGATAATATTTTTTATTCTTTGTAAAGAATAAAAAACAATGGGGTCTGGCTATGTTGCCCAAGCTGGTCTCAAACTCCTGGGCTTAAGCAAATCTCCCACTTCGGCCTATCAAAATGTGAGGATTATAGGCATGAGCCACAATACCCATTCCCTTATTTTTCAAAATAACTGTATAGTGCTCCATTTCCTCAACGAACCAACATTTATTAAAATTTCTCCTTAATACCAAGGCTGTAAGGCTCATTTTTGTACAGGTTTTCTATATGCTAAAATCTTACAAGTGGAACTGAAGAGTTAAAAGTCATAGGTATGATTAACTTTGCACCAATTAACAATATCGGGCACCTCTTTCACCCCACCCTGTTTCACACTGGATGCTGCCATATTTTTTTTCAACTCACCTTTTCCTGGTAGATGAAAAAACAGAATTTCCCAGTCATCTGTTTTCATTGATTTAAATTGTAAGTTGGGTAAAGACTCAGAATGTGTGTGTGCACTCACTGGTCATTGATGTTTCCTTTTGTGTGAACATCCTATCCATATTCAATTCCTGATTTTGGCCTTTTTCGTGAGTAATTTATTTTGTACATGTTACAAATCTTCTGGTAACCATGTTTCCAGAAGATTTGATTTTGGTATTCAAATTTAGCCCTCTGTGAACATTTTTTCTGTTTGATTGTAATTTTTTGAGTTACAAATGTTACAACATTTTACATAGTAAAGGTTATGAGTATTTTGCTTTATAACATACAGATTTTATACCATGTTAAGAAAGATCTTTTCACTTGAAGATAATGGAAAAATTTATCCCTGATTCCTTCTGATTCTTCTAAAATATCATTTCATCTGTCTTCATATTTCTGATCCATTTGAAATGCATTTTTGTGACTCTCTTTTCTTCCCCTTATCAAAAAAAATCAAACACTGTATATACATATTTTATAATCTAAACTTCTTAAATCTCAAACCAACATAACAGATCCAGGTGTTAGGAATACGAATAGGAGATACAAATTGTAACTTCTTTTTCCTTTTTCTATTGAATTTGGATAACATATTTTTAAAATGTGTGAGCATCAACTTTTTAAAATCTCTAGCTTGAGGAAAATAATCTCAAATAATTTATTCCTTAAATAAAAATATTATTTTAATTATCAGTTTTACTGAACAAAACTTAACCTGTATTTCTATTATATAAAACACACATAAAATGTCTTAATGTTAAGACACACAGTTGATTTAATAATACCTCCCCCTTTTATTTTATTCAGGACATAGAGAAATGAGACTAAACCACCACAACCAATGACTACGACCATCAAAAGTGTGCATTTTTGTATCTACAAAGGACCAGGGATCAGTGAATTCTTCCTAAGTAACTTTGCATGTGCAGTGTTGTTCTGCATACCCAGAGGAAGTTTTTTTGAAATCTGAAGACATTTCAAGGACAACTCAAGAGACAGACTTGGCTGGGGTGGAGACTAAGAGTCTTGTGTCCTGCTGTGACCTCACCTGACTGTGTCAATGAGTTCAGACCTAGGAGTGCCCCAGTTTTACTAAATGAGCCAAAAGTGACAGATTTATGTTGGGCGCTTCTAAGGACAAACCAGAGGGTAATTCCTTATTGACCAAATGACACATTGTACGCCACATAACAGGGATTCTCTGTGTGTGATTCCATACACAGATCAAAAGCGTAGCAAAGCTACAATAAGAGAATCATTTAAAAGACCTGAATTCCTTTCCGTGTTTCTTATTAAAGCAACATGACCATTAAGGAAAATTAAACTTCCCAAAAGGGAAAAATTCCACAGACTCCCTAACTTTACTCCAGACTTCCCCTGCAAAGCGGCCTGGAGACCTAAAACAATGCCATAGTGTTAGAGGGAAGTATTTTAAGCTGTTTTAAATGAAAAGTTGCCTGTAATAACATCTCTTTCTTCCGATAATGCAGACGGTTCTGCATAGTCTTCACATTCCACTTATCCTCCAAATATTAAAACTACTGTACAAACACAAACGCTCATTCAATAAAAATACCATAAGTATATAAACACAATTTCCTCATGTAAGATATTTTCTACCATGGGCAAACTCAGATGAGCTCCACCTTTATCCTAAATTATACTTGAAGAAAAACCTATCATCACAAGTTATTATTTTTGGAAGTTGGGTCTCTTAAAGAGACTGCAGAAAACCTTGGGTTTCCAATTAATGCAGCCATCAAGAAAGTGACTTTTCTGTATTCCACACTGAAAGACATTTTTCCTTGTGAGGTGAACATTTTTAATATAGGTTTTAGCTTGATTTAAACATCCCAAATTGTAAACATATATCACAGCATCATTTTGTACCTCATAAATATATATTGAACAGTGATAATTGTCAATATTCATTGTAAAAATGCTCTTAATTTGCTAATAATTTTACATAATTTTCATTTTATATGTTGCCCTGGAATCTGAAAGTATCTGAATTCAGAGAACAATGTGGATCAGAACCTAACAGTTTAATTTTTTAAATTTTATTTTTAAAATACATTTATCAAGAGTATGTTTTAGAACTAAGCATATATTTAGAAAGATAATGCTTTCATGTTTGCATGACAATGCTCTCGTGCTCTCTCTTTCTTTCTCTCTCTCTCTATATATATACATATATATGTTTTCTCTTTACATTTTAACTTTGCAGTTGTGTTATTTGTCAATTTGAGTAATAGAAAGAATAGATATGTTCATTAAAATCTTTTTACTGTATTTATGAAAAGTTGGGATTTATTAATAAATATGTTCTTCATGCATATTAGATTATGCAAGTATTGATGTCTATATCTAGCTTATTTCTGTCACACTAATTGTCATTATGTCCATTTGTTTTTAATTCTAAGAAT